ATAGATAGATAGATAGATAGATAGATAGATAGATAGATAGATAGATAGATAGATAGATAGATAGATAGATAGATAGATGATAGATAGATAGATAGATAATTCATCAAAAACTTGAGTGATTTATTAATACATGAATCTGAAACCTTGTGTGTGAGTGAAAGAGACAGACATGTAAAGACTGAACTATCTGTTCAACAGTGAGAACGTTTCTCTCTCTGCTACATTCAACACAGAGACACTGAGGAGTCAGACCACCAGAACCTGGACCAGAAGCCAAACCCAGGATACAGAGGTTCAGTGAAGGTGGTGTTGAAGGTGTGGAGGTGGATCANCGCTTTAGATAATTGGCCTTTTCTAAAAGCTTGTCAGTCTTTCCTCTGGGTGTTGGACTCTCTGACATACTAATTATCAAACACACAACCTCTAAATGTCTCAACACTTTGAGGTTGAGAGATTTTGAGTTCTCAACTTTTAGTGTTGGACTTCAAACTTCAATGAGTCACTGAGGATTAAAACCCATGACCTCTGACCTTTAGACAAGTCTTCAACAGCTTGAGAGACTGGGACAGAAACAAAAACCAGTTCTTCTCTTGGAGACTTCCAGTCTTTCCTCTGGACTTTGGCTTTCAACATTAAATCTCTGTCTCAGGATTGAACCAACAACCTCAAAACTTTCAGTCTTTTCTCTGAATGTAAACCTTCAACACTGAGAGCCTCAACAACATTTTCATTGACTCTTTGTCTTTTCTCAGACTTTTCAAACAAACTGTGACAGTGTTTTAGTTTGAACTGAATCGACTCAGTGGTCCTCAGATTCAGACAAAACACAAAGATTATCAGTGATGCTTTTATTGTGAAAAGATAAGAAGATAGATAGATCGATAGATAGATCGATAGATAGATCGATAGATAGATAGATTATTCATCAAAAACGTTATTGATTTCTTAATGCGTGAATCTGAAACTTGTGTGTGAGTGAAAGAGACAGACATGTAGAGACTGAACTATCTGTTCAACAGTGAGAACGTTTCTCTCTCTGCTACATTCAACACAGAGACACTGAGGAACCAGGACTGAACCAGAACCAGAGTCCAAACCCAGGATACAGAGGTTCAGTGAAGGTGGTGTTGAAGGTGTGGAGGTGGATCAGTTTGTTAGAGGAGACTCTGTAGAAGGACAGAGAGCCAGCAGGACAGTCCACATACACTGCTACTCTGTCAGAGACAGAGGAGGAGGAGGAAGACGATGTCACTGTCTTATTGTGACTGACAGAGTAACCAAGATCAGAGCAGTTCAGTCTCCAGGACTGATCATTCTTTCCAAACACACACTCCTCTCTGTCTCCCTTCCTGCTGATTCCTCTGTAACTCACTGATACATCAACCACTCCTCTCCACTCGACCTCCCAGTAACAGCGACCAGTCAGACCAGTTGAACACAGCAGCTGAGGCCAAGGGTCAAATCTGTCTGGATGATCAGGATATGACTGATCCTCCTCCACACGTGTCACCTTCCTGTTGTTGTCAGACAGTTTGATCTGTCTGTTCACTGTGTTTGTGTCGATTGTGAGTTCACAGGAATCTGATGGAGAGAACAAGACACAGCTGCAGTTATTGATCATCTGATCAGTTATTGACAGTTTGATGATGACTCCTGACATCAGTGATGTGACAGTTTGAAGATGGTTGAATGTGCTGCTTTGTTTTCATCAATCACATTAAAAACACACTTACACTTCCTCAGACCTGGTGTCAACCATCGGACTCCACCAGGCTCCGCCCTGAAAGGAGGAGGGGGGTCAGACCAGCACGTTCTCTGTCAGCATGCACACATGGACATTACATGGCTCATACACAGACTGTTTGATTACTGTGTTCAGATGGAGGCTTGTGTGTATGGATGTAGACAGAGACATGATGATGTGACCTGATTGAATTGTCTCTGATTTCCTCCTTGGTTGGAGACACTGGGACATGAATGTCTCTGATCAGTGTGGATGGTTTTATTATTGTTGGTGTGTCAACACTGAACAGGTCTCTACAGTCTTTGGACTGTTCTGGTGAAAACACTCTGTTGCTTCAGGAGCAGTTAAAGCAGCTGCAGCTGAAATGTTTCCTGATACAGCCTGAAATAAAGTCTGATCAAAACATCTGTAGAGACTCAGGTCACAGAACACAGCTGACAACAGCTGGATTCACAACTGACAGATCTCTAAATATGACACAGTGAGTCATAATGAGACACTGAAGTCATCAGGAGAAAACTCCTCTGTTGTTGTTGTTGAAGTCAAAGCTCTTCTGTACAGATCTGTCATCAGCTGTGACACAGAAACTGTTTCAGCTCTTCCTCCTCTATCAGACAGTGTGTGTGTCTGCAGCAGGCCTCTACATACCTGAGAGTGTCCAGTCTCCAGTCTGGATCCTCCAGTCCAGCAGACAGAAGCTTCAGTCCTGAGTCTCCTGGATGATTGTAGCTCAGGTCCAGCTCTCTCAGGTGGGAGGGGTTGGAGCTCAGAGCTGAGGCCAGAGAAGCACAGCCTTCCTCTGTGACCAGACATCCTGACAGACTGAACACACAAAACAACACACAGGAACCCTCTGTCAACACCTGCTGCTCTGTTAAACTGTCATCAGATAAACAGGTTGATGGATCCTGACCCGAGAGTCTCCAGTGTACAGAGTGGACTCTCCAGTCCAGCAGACAACAGCTTCACTCCTGAGTCCTGCAGGTCGTTGTTACTCAGGTCAAGGTGTTTCAGACTAGAGGACTGGGAGCTGAGGACTGAGGACAGAGCTTCACAGCTTCTCTCTGAGAGGTTACAGCCACTCAGTCTGAAGAGTTGATCATGAACAAGAAGACAAATAACATAAGTGTTAAACTGTAATCACCTTCAATAATGTGAGGAGCTGCTGGTTGAGATCTAATCTTGTCTCAGGACTGAAGTTCTTATTGTTCTATTTTAAACAAACTGAAAATGCAGCAGACAGAACTGATAAATGTTCATGTTGAATAAAAACTGATGAAAAATATCTTCAATCTTTAAATAAACACAACAACTGACTTTTAGTGAGAAACGTCTTTCTGACTGTTTTAAATTCTGACCTTCCATCAACAGATTGTCTGAAATTCTCAGGTTGACCCATGGACCGGTCGCTGTTCATGGACACACAGCTGGATCCAGGTCCAGGTGCAGGTCCAGGTCCAGGTCCAGGTCCAGGTCCAG